TCAAGGGACTCTCAAGTGTCTTCTCCAACACCACAGTTCAAAAGCATCAATTCTTCAGTGCTCAGCTCTCCTTATAGTCCAACTCTCATATCCATAAAAATGTTAGTTTCCACATAACCTCACCAACTTTGTCTTCTTATGAAGTTTTAGAATCTTAGCCTGTTTTTATAGCAAAAACTCATGTGTATTAACTAATTTAATCCTTTATTTGTGGATTATTTTCTCATGAAATTTGTTCTTTTTAACTTGGGATGTTTATCATATTTTCATGACTTATATGGAGGCTCTGTATACTACTACTACTATGATCTACTACAACTACACTACCACCTATACCGCATTCACTTATATGAACTCATTTGAGGACACAACAGTCTTACAAGGCAGAATATACTTTTTATCCCCCGGAATAGATCACTGAGGCAAAGCAAAGTCACTTGCCCAAGGTGAGTCAGTTATAAGAAGTAGAGGCAAGACTTGAACCCAAATAGTTTGGGTGCATATCCTTGTCCTTATTGAATTATTCAATATATAGGCTGAAGATGTTTCTTTCAGTCTATTGTTTCATTTTATCTTTCCCTTGTTTTCAGTTTCATGGGATTTTCTTTTTCTTTTCCTTTTGGCTTGCACTACATGGCACGTGGAATCTTAGTTCCTGAACCAGGGATTAAACCTGCACCCCCTGCATTGGAAGTGCAGAGTTCTAAGCACTGGATACCAGGTAAGTCCCTCATGGAAGTTTCTAATAATATTAATTGCCTATTAAAATTTCCTGTTGGTTGGCATTGCTGACTCAATAGACATGAGTTTGAGCAAGCTCCAGGAGATGATGAAGGACAGGGAAGCCTGGTGTGCTGCAGTCCATGGGGTCGTAAGAGTCAGACATGACTGAGCAACTGAATAACAACAAAAATTTCCTGTATTTGTTTCTACTTTCAGAGCCTTGTTATGAGTGTTCTTTTCCACTTCAAGTTTAAGAAAACTATTTTATCCTTACTCTTATAATTTTGTGAATATATTTAAATATATGTCAATACTAAATAATTGTGTAAGTTTATTTTATATATGATGTCAAGTTCTAATTTTAATTTTTCAATATCATACCTGAATTGTTTCTTATTCTTTTCTCACTGATTTTAATGCCACAGAGAAATGCACTAAATTACATCATTTCCACATGTTCATTGTGGACTTTCATCCACAAATGTTTATTGGTTTAAAAATGGGCTCGTGTGCTCAGATGCTCAGCTGTGTCTGACTCTGTGACCCCATGGACTGTAGCCTGTCCGGCTCCTCTGTTCAGGGGATTTCCCAGGCAAGAATACTGGAGTAGGGTGCTGTTTCCTACTTCAGGGTATCTTCCTGGCCCAGGGATGGAACCTGCATCTCTTACATCTCCTGCATTGGTAGCAGGATTCACTCGTGTGGTATGAAATCCATACCCTTTGCAGTTTCCCAGATGCTGAGGCCCCCCATGGTGATGAATGAAGTTCCCTGGCTCATAAAACTTATAGTCTAGTGCAGCTGGCCACCAAAACAAGAATTTATAATAAACTTTGATAACTGCCATCAGTTGGGACATCAGCAGGGTTACTTAATCTAGCTGGGGGAAGCAGAGAAGGTATCCCTAAAAAGGCAAAATTTAAACTTAGACTATGCATTCTAGAAATGAAGTTATTCATTTAGAATTTATAGTAATGACAGTAAAGCCTTATATATAAACTCATATGCATGCATGTTTAGTATATGCCAATTGTATATAATATAGTTTATCTAAATTGCTTATTTCAAGTATTAAAGGCTGAAAAATATATTCCAAGCTCCCATTACCATTATTCCTCTGTCAATTTTCCCTTACATTCACAAAAGTTTTAGTCTATATCCCAGCTTTATTGGGATATATTCACCATATAATAAGGTATAAGTGTAAGGTGTACAGTGTGATGGTTTGAAATACATATATACATTCTTCAAGGAAGATATACAGGTGGCCAAAAAGCAGATGAAAATATGCTCAACATCACTGATTATAGGAGAAATGCAAATCAAAACTACAATGAGGTATCACCTCACACTGGTCAGAACTACCATCATCAAAAATCTACAAACAATAAATGCTGGAAAGAGTGTGGAGAAAAAGGAACTCTCCTACACTGTTGGTGGCACTGTAAATTGGTGCAACCACTACGAAGAACGGTATGGAGATGCCTTTAAAAACTAAGAATAGGACTACCAACTGGTCTGGCAGTCCCACTCCTGGTCATGTATCCAGAGAAAACCATAATCTGAAAGTATACATGCACCTTGGTGTTTATTGCAGCACTATTTACAAAGGCAAATCATGGAAGCAAGCTAAATGTCAATCAACAGAGAAATGGATAAAGAAGATGTGATATTATACAATGGAATATTACTCACTACAAGAAAGAATGAAATAATGCCATTTGCTGCAACATGGATGTAGGAGATTATCTTACTAAGTGAAGTAAATCAGACAGAGAAAGACGAATATCACCTATGTACAGTGGTATATTACTCAGCCACAAATAGGAATGAAATTGGGTCATTTGTAGAGATGTAGATGGATCCAGGGAAAAGGAAATGGCAACCCACTCCAGTGTTCTTGTCTTGAGAACCCAGGGACGGGGGAGCCTTGTAGGCTGCCATCTATGGGGTCGCACAGAGTCGGACACGACTGAAGCTACTTAGCAGCAGCAGCAGCAGCAGATGGATCCAGAGACTGTCATACGAAGTAAGTCATAAAGAAAAATGAATATCATGTATTAAAGTATATACATGGAATCTAGAAAAATGAAATAGATGGTCTTATTTGCAAAACAGAAACAGACACACAGACATAGCGGGGATACTAGAGTGGGGGAGAAGGGGCTGGGATGAATTGGGAGCTTGGGATTGACATATATACACTATTGATACTCTGTATAAAATCTATAACTAATGAGAACCTACTCAGGGAACTCTACCCAGACCTCTGTGGTGATCTAAATAGCAAGGAAATCCAAAAGAGAAGGGATACATGTATACATATGGCTGATTCCCTTTGCTGTACCGCAGAAACACAACATTGTAAAGCAACTACACTCCGATTAAAATTAATTTTAAAAACATACAAATGAACATATTTACAAAATAGAAACAGACTTACAGATATCAAAAACAAGCTTACGGTTACCAAAGGGGAAACACTGGGAGTGGGGGAGAGACATGAATCAGGAGTCTGGGGTTAACAGACACACACCCTACTATATGTTATATAGCTTTCCAGCATAAACCTAATGTATAGCACAGGGAACTCTAATCAGTATTCTGTGATAATCTATACAAGAGAAGAATCTAAAAAAGCATGAATATATATATATATAAGCAAATCACTTTGCTGTATACCTAAGTCTATCACAACATTGTAAATCAACTATACTCTAGTAAAATTAAAATATTAAAAAAGAATATATATATTATGGAATAATTACCACAATTAAGTTTACTAACACATCTATCACATCATATAATTATTTTTTCTGTGCGTGTGTTATGAGTACTTTTAAGGTTGACTTTAGTAGTAATGATCAAGAATACAATCAATATTATCAACTAGTCACACATACATTCCATCCCCAAAGCTTGTTTGTACCACTTGATGACCATCACTCATTCCTCCCACCCCCATTCCTGCCTAGGTAACTACCAATTTACTCTCTGTTTCTATGAATTTAGTTTTTTTAGATTCCACATATAAATGAGATCAAAGATTTTTTCCTTTGTTTTACTTATTGCATTTAGCATCCTGCCCTCCTACATTAGTTATATGTTGCTGTGCTTCAGATTACTGCAAAACTTGGCAGCTGAAAGAAGAAAACATCTAGCATCACATAATTTCTGTGGGCAGGAATTGACATGATTTACCTGGGTCTCTGACACATGATGTCTCACAAGGTGTAATCATCTGAAGTTTCAACCACTCAAACCAACTTACCTGGATGTCAGCAACATTCAGACCTTGCTGGACTATTTAACGGAGAGCCTCACTCCCTTGCTGGCTGTTGGTTAGAGGACTGCCTCAGGTCCTTGTCATGCGGGTCTCTCCATAATTAGGTCATACCATGGCAAATGGCTTCAACAGAGCAAGAGAGAGAGCAAGATAGGTAGCAAGGGGGAAACCAGAGTCATCCTGAATCCTAATCTCTCAAGTGATAGTGGTTTTGTTGTTCAGTCACTAAGTCGTGTCCAACTCTTTGGGACCCCATGGAGTGCAGCCCATCAGGCTCCTCTGTCCATGGAGTTCTCCAGGCAAGAATACTGGAGTGAGTTGCCAATTCCTTCTCCAGGGGATAGTCCCAGATCAGGGATCGAAGCCTTGTCTCCTACATTGATTGGTACATAGATTTTTTTTTTTAGACATTGAGCCACCAGGCAAGCCCCTTAAGTAACATAGCTTTTGTCAAATTTCATTTGTTAGATGCATGTTACTAGGTACATTGGAGTGTGGGGATTATACAAGGATGTGAACACAGGTGACAGGAATAACTGGGACACTTTACAGCCTGTTACCCTAGCCCTCTGTTCCTAAGCTGGATGAGATGCTCCCTATGGACAGGGAAGGAGAGGGAGGATTCCTCCCTGGATCCCAGGCCAGGAGCTGTAACTGAGACGGGGAAGCTGGGCCCTAGTAGCCTTGGGCACATCTACAGGGAGGGCAGCATCCAGAGTCTCTGGAGGCCTGTCCTCGGTGGTGTCCGTGCAGCTGGTTCTATAGGCTCAAGAGAAACACCTGGTGCCTCCCTTCTTGCTTCAGGTTCAGTGATGGCACATTGGGAGCTTTTAGTTGGCCATTGTAGGAATATTTATACCACAGAAGTCAAGAAATACTATTCACAGGGATTTTTTCCTCTTGGACAACTCATTTTTAAATACTTTTCAGCACATCACTACATGGTCTCCTAAAATCTCTCCTGTGTCCCGTGTCTGTGTCTGTCTTGCAGCTCTGGAGCTGAGGCTGAAGGATGGAGCCCACAGGTGTGAGGGGAGAGTGGAAGTGAAGCACCAAGGAGCTTGGGGCACAGTGTATGTTCAGTACTGGTTTCTGGAGGATGCAAATACGTTGTGCAGACACCTGGAATGTGGAGTTGCCATTGATGCTCCCAGAGGGTCTTATTTTGGACCAAGACTTGGCACTATTTGGTATTTCTGTCTTTCTTGCAACAGGACAGAGCCTGAATCAACTTTGAGTATCAATAACTGTGTTCAACCTGATTTTAAAAACAATACTCATATCTTGTCTCATGACCAGGATATTGGAGTGGTCTGCTCAGGTAAGTCCTGTCTGGTCTGGGAGGGGATATCCAGCAGGAAAGACCTCAGTTTCATTCCCAGAATGATTATGGGAAAATCATATCACAGACTTTAGAGTGTCTTTGGGGGAAGGCTCTGGTCACAGTGGTTGGAACCACAGTGGATCAGGGGTTCCTGGATCATTAGGTCCTCAAAAGAGTGTAAGGGCTTGCTTGGCCCTGGACAGTATAAGGCTTCAGACCTGTGGACATTTGGACTCTTCATATCTCTATCATGTGTCATAAGAGGCAGGGAGATGAGGTCAAGTGTTACAAACAAGTACAACCGCTGAATTGTACTTTTATATAAAAGTATGATGAATCAGTTTCATCTTGGTAATTGCTTTTTATTCTTTTGGGATGGCCAGTCAGGTTTGGGCACAAGAGAGGACGTAAGAGAGGGGCAGGCACACATAGTTTATTATGCTCTCTGATCTTAGAGAAACAGAGTCACCAAAGGCATGAGGGGACCATGTCAGGGAGGCTGCAAGGGGGCTGGCTCAAGAAAGCATGAGGAGCCAAAAGAAAGAGTCACACAGACAAGTGACAAGTGACAACACTGGGCTCAGGGTGCAGTTACACAAGGAAAAGGCCCGAGGGTATTTCACTGGTTCATTTGAACGTCACTAGACACATTCAGGGCAAGAAGGAGGATTTGTGGCAGCAGCTAGAGTCATCTTACAGGTGCACCTGGTCACATGGGTGGGGAACTCACATCCCGTTAATGGGGATGTTGACACAACAGGGAAACATGACTAGCAAAACAGGTACTAAGGGCAGTGAGGCTAAGAGGACCTGAATGACTCATGAGATGTGTTCAGTACCAAGTGTGTTTGACCTGTGTCAGGGTGGAGGCAGTAAAGACAGCAGTGAAACTAGGATTTGAGGAGTCATCACAGTATCTTCCAGAGATGTTTCCAGTTGTTACCACAATGGTGGAAGAGACACCGTAGACATTATTCCCATTTGACCAGGTGGACTAGAGGAAAATCAGGTATCACAGTGAATTCTTAATGTAGTTGGTTGAGTCTTTGAAAATGTTCAACCGTCTGGTGGGTGGGACAGGGGGAGCCCTGAGAACATCTGCAGTAGGTCTCTAGCAGCTCATAGTCAATCAGTTCTTTTGGGGATGATCTCTGCAAAAGTGATTTTTCCAGTCTCACCCTCAGCAGATCTTTGGTGATACTTGTTGAGACCCCTTAAGAAAAGAATTACTTTCATTTTTAAGTTACTTTGAAGTATGGATGACATACAAAAAGCTGTACATATTTAATGTATACAACTTGAAACTTAGGGAGGTAAGTATACATCTGTGATGTATGATGCATGCTATTCATCATTGCAAATATTTTCTTCTGTTATTATTATTAAAAATAATTATTTTCAAGGGGCATTTGAATTTCAGAAAGAAATTCTTCTTTTAAGAAAACCTGTTTTCTGGCATTTCATGTAACATTCTTTATTGCCATAATGCCCTAATCATGATTCCAACTGCAGGTAAACTGGTGGAAACACTATAGCAGTCTCTGTAATCAGCTTGTAAATGAAAATGGAGTGTGCAATGTTTGAACTTTGTGAGATATTGAAGCCTCTAATGTTATTATTTTGAGAAAAATGCTGTCTTGTTGGGCTTGCCAGGTGGCGCTAGTGGTAAAGGATCTGCCTGCCAATGTGGGAGACATAAGAGATATGGGTTCGATCCCTGGGTCAGGAAGATCTCCTGGAGCAGGAAATGGCAACCCACTCCAGTATTCTTGCGTGGAGAAGCCCATGGACAGAGGAGCCTTGTGGGCTACAGTCCGTGGGGTCTCAAAGAGTTGGACATGACTGAAGCGACTTAGCATGCAGGCATGTAATGTCTAGATATTAATTTCTGGTTAAGATACACTTGAAAATTAAAAGGGTGCTCTGGCATTTAAACCTTGATAACAGTTTTTACTCCCTAACACTGCTTTACTTCAGGCTTTCATATAGTTATGAACTGTTCTGTTTTTTTTTTTTTTTCTGCTAATCTCTTCATCAGTTTTATCTCTCTGGTCTATCCCTTCTATATTTTCAGGAATATGTTTTAGTGATGTTTGAGTGAAGGTAGGCCAAAGTGGTGATGCAGAAGCAGTAAGAAGAGAATAGCATGCCTGTTTAATTATCTAACTGAAATTGAAGTCTTGGAGTTTCTTCTTCTCAATTTTAAGAAAGTGGAAGTGAAAGAGAGCCTCATCCCCTTTACTGGATTTTTGGAAGTGAAGTACTATGTTTAGGAGAAATCCAGAGTAGAAACAATGACACTGAGAAGAATGTAGAGGAGCTTGCATGAAATACAGAGAGGACTTCAAGAAGTTCAGGAGAAGGATTTGGGAGGGGCTTCACACTTTCACTTTCACAAACTGAGGACTGTGGTGCTGAAGTACAAAATGGTGAGGAGATGAAGATGCAAGGATTGCAGGAAGGGAGGCTGGGAATCAACATCCAGGTCAACTCCCACATTCACCACAGCCTCTGCGTTACACTTCCCTCCTGCTCTCATTCCTTCCTGCCCTCTCTGACTTTATTTTGATGTGGGAGTCATGTCTGTGCTCCATGGAAGAGTTGGCATTTCAAGGCTGCAGTTTTCTTTGTGGGAAGTTTTTGTAGTAAGGATTCTATTTCTTTAACAAATACAGGACTGCTCAGATTTTCCAATTTTTGTGCTATCAAATTTTGGTAGTTGTATTTTCAAGTAGTTTTTAAGGACTCAGACAAGTTATCAAAATTAGGATAAAATTTTGTGTATATCTCATATCTTTTAAATATTGGTAAGATCTCTAAGGGTTTCCCTGGTGGCTTAGCCAGTAAAGAACTGCCTGCAGTGCCGGAGACCTGGCTTCGATCTCTGGTTTGGGAAGATTCCCTGGAGAAGGGAATGGCAATCCACTCCAGTATTCTTGCCTGGGGAATCTTATGGACAGAGGAGTCTGGTGGGCTACAGTCCATGGGGTCACAAAGAGTCGGACACGACTCAGTGACTAACACTTCAAATTCAAAGGCCTATAATGTTAACCCCCCTTTCATTTATGGTGGTATTAAATTTGTGTATTCTCTCCTTTTTTTCTTGATTGATTTTTTTTTTTGCTAGAGGATTATCAGTTTTATTATCCTTTCAAACAGAATTATCAATTGACTTTATTGATTTTATTTTTTGTGTGTGTTTCCTATTTCATTGATTTTTGTTAGTTTTTATTCTTCTCTTTTGTTTTGATTTCCTGTATTTCTGTAGATTCTTGAGATGGAATCTTAGATCATTTGCTCTCAGTTTTATTTTCTATTATAGTGTAGGTATCAAGGAAGCATTAAAGCTGTAAGTTTTCTTTTAAACACCATATCAGTTGCATCACACTGATTTTGAAGCTACATAATTTCTTTTGTATTTTATCATTGTGAAATGTTCCTTTTTTCTCTCTGAATATATTATTTGTTCTATAGTCTTACTTTGTACAATATTAACATAGATAGTATAGCTTTCTCTGATCAGTGTTTTCATGGTTTATCTTTTTTGACCTCTATGATATGTTTTCGTGTTTATATTATGTTTGTTTTTGTATACAATGTATGATTTTTGTCTTACTTTTGCCTAGTCTGATTATCTTGCTTTTATTTGGAATGTTTAAATTATTTAAATTTAATATAATCATTTATATAGTTGGGTTTATGTTTACTAACTTGCTGTTTGTGTTATGTTTTCTTTGTTCCTATTTTAATCTTTAGTTGGATGTTTTAAATATTTTATTTTATGTACTTTATTGGTGTATTAGCTATGCTTCTTTTTGCAGAGTTTACCATAATGTTGAAATTATTACTCTTTAATCACATTTTTCTTTAAATTATATTATGTCTCTTATTATATAATGTAAGACCTTGCTATAGCATATGTCTATTTCCCTATTCTTATTATTTGTGCTACTATTGTCACACATTCTACTTGTAAATATGTTATGAATTTTGTAATATAATGCAGTTGTTTTTGTCTTAAATATTCTAGTCTTTTAAAAATGAGAAAAAGATTTTAAAATATTTACTTGCAGAATTATCATTTAGAACCATTCTTGTAGTTTTGGGGGGATTCAAGTTTTCTTTTATTTTTAATTTCCTTTAACTTTTAGACTGTTAGATAACATTTTTGTGTAATATAAGTCTGGTGGCCTCAAATTCTATCATCTTTTATTCATCTGAAAATACTTTTTCTTTCAGTTTTGAAAGTAATTTTCAAAAGTGTCTGAGTTCTAAGTTAATATTCCCTGCCCACGTCCCCTTCCCCGTACTTTAAAGATGTTTTTGCATTATTGTTTGGCTTGTGTTACCTCAAACAAGAAGTTGGTAATACTTAAAATATTCCCCCTGTACATAGTATGTCAATTTTTCCTGACTACTTTTAAGATTTGTTTTTGTTTATGAGTGGGTCTCAGCAGTATATTATTAAGTGCCCTAGGTGGTTTTGTTTATGTTCATCTTGCTTGATATTTGTTTAGCCTCTAAGATCAGGGGGTTTATAAGTGGGTTCATTAAATTTGGAAAAATTCCATCTATCATTGTAAAATATTTTTTTCTACTCATACCTTATACTAAATCTCCAAATAACATGTTACATGGTCTGATATTATCCCGCATGCCACTAATTTTCCACTCATATTTTTCTGCCTTTTTTCTCTGTCTATTTCCATTTGGATAGTCAATCGCTATGTACCAAGTTTCCAGTTCTTTTATTCTGCAATGTCTAGCTTCTTGTTGAGTTAATCCAGACAATTTTTCATTCCAGATATTGTATTTTCCATTTTGGAAGCTCCATTTGCTTATTTTTTTTTCTAGTTTTTTTCTCTACTTTGTTTTTATACCTCACGGTGTGTGTTAATTTCTCAGTTGTGTCTGACTCTTTCAGTTCAGTTCAGTTCAGTTGATTAGTTGTGTCCGACTCTGCAAACCCATGAACTAACTGAAGCACGCCAGGCCTC